CATTGAAGATGAGTAATGCAACAATATAATTTACGAAACTTGAACTGTAATATGAACATAAAAAAACTAACAAAATGGGCCATTTAACAACATATTTGGTGTTGATATTCTACAACAAAAACAAATACTTTCTCGTATAAGGAAACGTACAATAATTCACATTTATCACTTTTCACGAAACAATGTAGTGCTCTGTGACTTTGCATACTTATTACAGATTGTAGAACATTTTTTTCATTGTGTATTGTCATGTAACACCTACGTCGTTTTTTCCCTTTATCAACTGCATCAGGATCGAGAACTCTGGGCTGAGAAGTAGACGGCTTACTTTATTCGTCGTTGGTAATTTTGGATTCTTTGCATGGCTGAACGAAGCTCCCTAGGAAGTCTTGGATCTGATAAACGTCTCTCATACGAAGTTAAATTAGAGTTTGCCTCAGGGGAACAATAAAATTTCGTCGCCTAATAGAACTTTCAGTCCCAGACTGAAAAAAAAGGAATTTACAGAAGCTGGTTGGATACCAAATAGCACAAGGCATCTTCTCGTGCTCTAACCAGTATTGTAATTTACACACTTCCGATCTAATGCATTACCCCCCGCCTTCATAGTGTTATAAAAATAATATAGAATCTTATCAGGTTTCTTTGATTCCTCTACTATTTTGTTATCATGCTGCATAGATTGCTATACGAGAACATGTGTTTTGGTTTTGGAAGATACTACACTAAGGCTGTAGTGCTAGTGAACGTAAACTTAGAAGTACCTGGCTGTGTTTCCTTCTTATTTGGAACTACATGTTGGGGTACTTGTTACTTATTTTTACGCTTCCTGCCGACATAGGTCAGTTGGTTGATGCGCAATTACATGTAATTCACTGGTGTGATATTTCTGTTCGTATAGACGAAAGCATTGAGCAGGTAGTGGTGAGTCTTTGCATCATCAGTCCATACTTATTCGGTTTAGTTTTCTTGTAGGCACAGGAAGGACATCGGCCCACGAGCATCTCGTATTTTGTAGGGGACTCACCCGAAATAAACAATTTCGACAGTTTCTATGAGTGTCTCGAAAATTTCACGTATTTGGAGAAATTTATCTGCATTTCTCGAGTCACAGGGTTATTATTTTCCAAATTGGTTGCCACGGACTTTAGTTCAGGTAAATGCGTAATATATTGTCGTCTGGATCGACCAGTTGCAGGCGCTCGTTTTGACCAATTGTACATGTTTTTTCCATAAGCATAGCGAGGTCGCCATAGGAAGTTGTTCAGGTTGATCGCTACAGCGTCGTCCTCGGCGTAGTCTATGGTGTATTGTTCATCCGTCAACAACGAAAAAATCCATTGTGAAGGAAGTTCAAATCGTACACGAGCTGACATCCTCGGATCAAATTTGACCGCAAAGTCAACAAACCAACACTTGTGATGTTAAATTAACTGTGGTTTGAGGTATACGTGCTTCTACCGTATGAGAAGTCACGGGAGCCCCACCACATAACTGAGAAAGCTCGAATCATCCGACGATATCATTAAAGGATTAATTTCTATATTCTTAAACGAATCTATAAAATCAAAGTGGCTGGGTTTCAATTTACATAGCTCTTTGTATGGTCTTGTTTGTGATCAACATTATATGCTTTCTAGACATGTTCAAGTGTGCAGCTTCTTCACTTTCATATTAATGTCAATAAGAGCATTTCATCCATTTTTGAATAAATGTGTTCATCACAAATTGTAGAAATACTCTGAGCATTGACTCTAAAATGGAATGGACTTGATCCGTGAGTATTCTCCGAGCAAATCGTCTCAAGTGCGTTTTTGATCGTTGCGCCCTGATTACAAATAGTGCCAACGACGCACAAACCAAGTCGCTGCAAGTTTGTGATCACATGAACAATAATCGTTTTCAGATCTGGGATTCTTGTATCTTTTACTAGATAATAAGCCACAACCTGCTTATAATTTTTACGAATCCCTCTTATCATGGAAGTAAGGGCATGATTTCTGATAAATCACTTTTACAGAGTTCTAGTTGATTTTGTTACCTCAGAATTCAAGATTTATTAGCTGAAAATTGTACACTGTGAGCGGTTACCAAGACTAGATTCACAATCTTAAGTCCTAGGTGCTATCGTGCGTGGGATCAGCCCTAAACTTTGTCCAAACCCTGCAATAATCGTAAACACTAAACAAGGGTAGACATATTTCTAGTTTAACTGCCTGAAGATTTTCTCTATGGTTTATACGTAACCTCCACCTATTATCTCATTTTTGTACATGTTCTGGGAGAACTCAACTTGCTCCCTATAAAATGCAACGTCTTCCTGCACAGTGGTTCTGGTTAAGTGCCAGCCTGCTTCGGGTTTGTAATTAGTTGTTGCAATTTACCGATTTCGTCGTCATTTTTCATAATCCAGATTTCGTTTTGGCATTCCAGTTCAGCCATTTGATCCTGAAGCTCTTTTATAGTAGAATCATTATGGCATCGTATATCTGAGATTTTAAATGAGTGGTTGACCTCACGTTGGTTACTCTCGTCCATCAGACTCTTTACGTCATTTCTCAGTTTAGATTCAAGTTCTTTTAGGAAGCCAATTTCATCTTGCAGTTCAGCAATGTGTGACATCGTTACATCAGTTTGTGTAGCAGCACTTAAAGAATCTTGCATATCTTCGTACTCAGCGTCAAGCATAGCTTCTAAGTCTGCAACCTTCTTTTTTGACTCAATATTTTGAGCTTCAAGAGATAGTTTAGGGCTCTCTGATCTTCCTAGGTTCTTCAGTTGAGTACGCAGCATCTCTATTTCTGACTCGTATGTTTTTAGTCTTTTTATAATTTTTTCCAGAAAATCGAGTCTGTATTGCAAGTCGATGAAATTCTTGCGCTTTTTGAGAATTTTTTTGAACCCTTTCTATTTCTTCGTTGTACGCATCCGTTACTTGGCGGAGTTCCTGACTGTAACGATCGATTTTAGAATTGGCTTCTGTGAGCTGTTTCTTCAGGTCCAAAATCTCCAGCTGATTATCTAGTTTAGTGAATTCTCTAAGCTCATTGAAAGATTCTTCCAGTTCTTTGAGTTGTCTTTTAAGTACACTTGCACGTCTTCAGCTATCACAGATTCTGCTTCGGCTAGTGCCTCCTCATATGTCTCTTCTTGAATAGGCCTCATTTCACGTCCGGATGATTCTTCTTTGGGTGGATAATTTTTCAATGGCATATACCGTAGGGATGCTTTTTTAGGTGATACGTTGCCATAGTCTCCAAAAGTATGACGTCTTAATTTTTTTTTTTCGTGTTGATGCCGAGGCTCCCATTTGAAAGCGCCCGACAATAGATACTTCCGTTTTTAGTCTTTCTATCTCGAGCAGATACTCTTGTTTGCTTTTCTCCATCTCTTCTAGCTTAATTGCCTGCTTTTTGAGCCGAGTTTCGAGATCGCGAGTCAAGTTCTGATATCCTTGAAGTGCCTCTTCTGTAGCTGACAAGATGTTTACTTTCGGTTTATTTTTGACAGTTTTAGTGCTTTGGGCGAATTCTGGTGTAGATCTAGTCTCCTCCTCTGCAGCTAAAGTAACATTCCCGATAATCAATGATTTGGCATTACCGCCAAGAGCCTGTGAGAGCAGTCTAGTCAATTTCGAATCGCGATAACTGATAAACTCCTTCCCCTCGCTTAGTTGCCTTATCACATTTCCTAATACTGACAAAGATTTGTTTATGTTAGCCCCCTCTTTAAGACGCTCACCAGCAGCTTTCGTCAGAGAAACTCTCTCAGAACCAGCTAAGTCCATTAAGTTAAGGTAGCTTATATGTACAGGTCCATCTTTCTGATTGGCATCTTTCGACTCCAGAATAATCCGGAAAATCGTGTGTGATCGAGATGACCTCTCATTCATGCGAGTAGCTGCAACTCGTCTGATCTTATTGCCCTGCATCATGTTCTCCATAACTTTATCAACATTGTCTACGACAGCTTCCCTTGCATCAAGCAGCACATTTCCTTTGATATCTTCTCTTATAGTTAAACCCTGATTGCTCTTATCCAGGAGGTCATTGATCTTTTCATTGTAGATTTCAATATAACTGCATCTAATCAAGTACCTCTTATCAACCTGGTCTGCCACATGCTGGAATAACTGATTGGATACTAATTGGAAAAGCCCAGGATCTGTTTTATTGCCCAAAATGGTGTGTGTTTTGCCAGAAGATGTTTGGCCATATGCAAATATTTGCATTGAAACCTTCCATGAAGGAATCGACTAAAGGTTTTACTACAGATCCATATACATCTGAATTTGTACATTCCTGTTAAATACATGGTCGAATATATAAACCTCTCCATGGCGACTACTTTCATCGGCTTCCCATATGCAGTTTCTCTTACGTTCCAAAGACGCTCTAGACCATCGGCTACTTCGCGGTGGATCATTGGTCTGATCTTTGTGGCTACTTTAATATTGTCGGAAGTCATTTTGGAAGCTTGAACTGAAATTTAATTAGAACTAGGGCTATTTCACGGGTTATAAAGAGGGGCACTTTTCATAATCCAGATTTCGTTTTGGCATTCCAGTTCAGCCATTTGATCCTGAAGCTCTTTTATAGTAGAATCATTATGGCATCGTATATCTGAGATTTTAAATGAGTGGTTGACCTCACGTTGGTTACTCTCGTCCATCAGACTCTTTACGTCATTTCTCAGTTTAGATTCAAGTTCTTTTAGGAAGCCAATTTCATCTTGCAGTTCAGCAATGTGTGACATCGTCACATCAGTTTGTAGCAGCACTTAAAGAATCTTGCATATCTTCGTACTCAGCGTCAAGCATAGCTTCTAAGTCTGCAACCTTCTTTTTTGACTCAATATTTTGAGCTTCAAGAGATGGTTTAGGGCTCTCTGATCTTCCTAGGTTCTTCAGTTGAGTACGCAGCATCTCTTTCTGACTCGTATGTTTTTAGTCTTTTATTATTTTTTTCCAGAAAATCGAGTCTGTATTGCAAGTCGATGAAATTCTTGCGCTTTTTGAGAATTTTTTTGAACTCTTTCTCTTTCTTCGTTGTACGCATCCGTTACTTGGCGGAGTTCCTGACTGTAACGATCGAATTTAGAATTGGCTTCTGTGAGCTGTTTCTTCAGGTCCAAAATCTCCAGCTGATTATCTAGTTTAGTGAATTCTCTAAGCTCATTGAAAGATTCTTCCAGTTCTTTGAGTTGTCTTTTAAGTACACTTGCACGTCTTCAGCTATCACAGATTCTGCTTCGGCTAGTGCCTCCTCATATGTCTCTTCTTGAATAGGCCTCATTTCACGTCCGGATGATTCTTCTTTGGGTGGATAATTTTTCAATGGCATATACCCTAGGGATGTTTTTTAGGTGATACGTTGCCATAGTGTCCAAAAGTATGACGTCTTAATGTTTTTTTTTGTGTTGCCGAGGCTCCCATTTGAAAGCGCCCGACAATAGATACTTCCGTTTTTAGTCTTTCTATCTCGAGCAGATACTCTTGTTTGCTTTTATCCATCTCTTTTAGCTTAATTGCCTGCTTTTTGAGCCGAGTTTCGAGATCGCGAGTCAAGTTCTGATATCCTTGAAGTGTCTCTTCTGTAGCTGACAAGATGTTTACTTTCGTTTTATTTTTGACAGTTTTAGTGCTTTGGGCGAATTCTGGTGTAGATCTAGTCTCCTCCTCTGCAGCTAAAGTAACATTCCCGATAATCAATGATTTGGCATTACCGCCAAGAGCCTGTGAGAGCAGTCTAGTCAATTTCGAATCGCGATAACTGATAAACTCCTTCCCCTCGCTTAGTTGCCTTATCACATTTCCTAATACTGACAAAGATTGTTTATGTTAGCCCCCTCTTTAAGACGCTCACCAGCAGCTTTCGTCAGAGAAACTCTCTCAGAACCAGCTAAGTCCATTAAGTTAAGGTAGCTTATATGTACAGGTCCATCTTTCTGATTGGCATCTTTCGACTCCAGAATAATCCGGAAAATCGTGTGTGATCGAGATGACCTCTCATTCATGCGAGTAGCTGCAACTCGTCTGATCTTATTGCCCTGCATCATGTTCTCCATAACTTTATCAACATTGTCTACGACAGCTTCCCTTGCATCAAGCAGCACATTTCCTTTGATATCTTCTCTTATAGTTAAACCCTGATTGCTCTTATCCAGGAGGTCATTGATCTTTTCATTGTAGATTTCAATATAACTGCATCTAATCAAGTACCTCTTATCAACCTGGTCTGCCACATGCTGGAATAACTGATTGGATACTAATTGGAAAAGCCCAGGATCTGTTTTATTGCCCAAAATGGTGTGTTTTGCCAGAAGATGTTTGGCCATATGCAAATATTGTGGCATTGAAACCTTCCATGAAGGAATCGACTAAAGGTTTTACTACAGATCCATATACATCTGAATTTGTACATTCCTGCTTAAATACATGGTCGAATATATAAACCTCTCCATGGCGACTACTTTCATCGGCTTCCCATATGCAGTTTACTCTTACGTTCCAAAGACGCTCTAGACCATCGGCTACTTCGCGGTGGATCATTGGTCTGATCTTTGTGGCTACTTTAATATTGTCGGAAGTCATTTTGGAAGCTTGAACTGAAATTTAATTAGAACTAGGGCTATTTCACGGGTTATAAAGAGGGGCACTTTTCATAATCCAGATTTCGTTTTGGCATTCCAGTTCAGCCATTTGATCCTGAAGCTCTTTTATAGTAGAATCATTATGGCATCGTATATCTGAGATTTTAAATGAGTGGTTGACCTCACGTTGGTTACTCTCGTCCATCAGACTCTTTACGTCATTTCTCAGTTTAGATTCAAGTTCTTTTAGGAAGCCAATTTCATCTTGCAGTTCAGCAATGTGTGACATCGTTACATCAGTTTGTGTAGCAGCACTTAAAGAATCTTGCATATCTTCGTACTCAGCGTCAAGCATAGCTTCTAAGTCTGCAACCTTCTTTTTTGACTCAATATTTTGAGCTTCAAGAGATGGTTTAGGGCTCTCTGATCTTCCTAGGTTCTTCAGTTGAGTACGCAGCATCTCTATTTCTGACTCGTATGTTTTAGTCTTTTTTATTTTTTTCCAGAAAATCGAGTCTGTATTGCAAGTCGATGAAATTCTTGCGCTTTTTGAGAATTTTTTTGAACTCTTTCTATTTCTTCGTTGTACGCATCCGTTACTTGGCGGAGTTCCTGACTGTAACGATCGATTTTAGAATTGGCTTCTGTGAGCTGTTTCTTCAGGTCCAAAATCTCCAGCTGATTATCTAGTTTAGTGAATTCTCTAAGCTCATTGAAAGATTCTTCCAGTTCTTTGCGTTGTCTTTTAAGTACACTTGCACGTCTTCAGCTATCACAGATTCTGCTTCGGCTAGTGCCTCCTCATATGTCTCTTCTTGAATAGGCCTCATTTCACGTCCGGTGATTCTTCTTTGGGTGGATAATTTTTCAATGGCATATACCCTAGGGATGCTTTTTTAGGTGATACGTTGCCATAGTGTCCAAAAGTATGACGTCTTAATGTTTTTTTCGGTGTTGATGCCGAGGCTCCCATTTGAAAGCGCCCGACAATAGATACTTCCGTTTTTAGTCTTTCTATCTCGAGCAGATACTCTTGTTTGCTTTTATCCATCTCTTTTAGCTTAATTGCCTGCTTTTTGAGCCGAGTTTCGAGATCGCGAGTCAAGTTCTGATATCCTTGAAGTGTCTCTTCTGTAGCTGACAAGATGTTTACTTTCGTTTTATTTTTGACAGTTTTAGTGCTTTGGGCGAATTCTGTGTAGATCTAGTCTCCTCCTCTGCAGCTAAAGTAACATTCCCCCGATCAATGATTTGGCATTACCGCCAAGAGCCTGTGAGAGCAGTCTAGTCAATTTCGAATCGCGATAACTGATAAACTCCTTCCCCTCGCTTAGTTGCCTTATCACATTTCCTAATACTGACAAAGATTTGTTTATGTTAGCCCCCTCTTTAAGACGCTCACCAGCAGCTTTCGTCAGAGAAACTCTCTCAGAACCAGCTAAGTCCATTAAGTTAAGGTAGCTTATATGTACAGGTCCATCTTTCTGATTGGCATCTTTCGACTCCAGAATAATCCGGAAAATCGTGTGTGATCGAGATGACCTCTCATTCATGCGAGTAGCTGCAACTCGTCTGATCTTATTGCCCTGCATCATGTTCTCCATAACTTTATCAACATTGTCTACGACAGCTTCCCTTGCATCAAGCAGCACATTTCCTTTGATATCTTCTCATAGTTAAACCCTGATTGCTCTTATCCAGGAGGGTCATTGATCTTTTCATTGTAGATTTCAATATAA